TTAGTAAGCTAATTGTAAACAAATTACCAAGAAAAAGCATTTGATGTATTAAACTGATCCTTTCCTCACCTTACAAACAGGAGGTGTACGGAATATTTCCAACCAGCTCTCTATCACAACCAAGATTGACAGAGCACACCCAGAATTGAAGGAATATGCCAAAAGCAAGGGCTGGTGGGATGGGGAAAAGGAATTTGATTTCGCTGCCACGTATTCTTATGTAAATACTGCCAGAATGACCACATCCAGAGGCCGATATTGTGAAGGCTATAAACTTCTGAACAAACACAAAGGTATAATTTTTTTATATATTTTAAGATATGCAAAGCAGTTAGTGAGCTACATTAATTTAAATCATAAATTATTAGACATCTAATGTGGGCAATCATTCACATGATTTGGTGAACCAGAACTTAGTACAATAATTTTTTTGCCTAAAGCAGAAACACTGAACTTGAAGTCTTATATCTATTTTTGCCAATTTGTTGATGAGGAAAAATTAAAACAAGGGTCAAATAGCGAACACACAGCTACAGTAACGACACTGAGATGTCACATTATGACCATACCGCTAAATACTCTGTAAGATCTGCTCTGAAAAATCTGGATAGGCTATGTATTATTAATGTCCCTCTAAGAAAAGAAACAAGCTAAAAGACTCCCAGTGGTTTGCAGCCACAAACAGAACCTTGTAAACAACTGCAGTCTGGTACCATTCATATAGGCCCGAGGCAAGAGCACAGCATTCAGATACATATCTTGCGCTCAATTTTTGAGTTTCATTTTTAAATCTTTGTAGTTTCACTGTAACTGCTACTCTAACCTCCTGTAGTCTAATAAAACACACTGAGAGCAGAACAAAATCATTTTCTGCACTCTAAGCAGGTGCTCCTAATCACTAACTTATTTACTTATTTTTCAGACCTCTGTAGAAAGAAGCTATTACTTCTCTTCTAACTGCATCCACCTGGCAGGTTTTTGCTGCATCTGTATTCACTTGCTCATTTGAAGTAATTAATATGAACCAAAATTACATTGCACCCCTCTGGTTTTTTATTTATTTGGCTGAGCTCTGCCAGACCAGGTTTAGTATTTAGTTAATGCATCAGAATGAATTACCTTTTGCTGTCCTGCTCTAGTGATCATGTAAATCCTGCATTCATTTTGGGAATTGCAGGTTCTGAATACTGAAAGCATTTTCATAATACCTGTATTTACTTGTATTATAACAATGCTGAGATTCTATCAGTGTTTTCATTCTAAATCCCCATTTTCAGGCATTTACTTGAGCCATTTTAAAATCACACTAGGTGTTCAGGTTATCAGCTTCATACGGTTTCAGCTTGTTTAGATTTATTTTAAATAGGTGCCTTAACTAAAAGCTATTTGGTTTACAGCATCAGTAAAATCACTGTTTTCTTAATCTACCCTTCCCAGCTTTCTCGCTCAGTGGCATTACAGTTTTTTTCCAGGCTGCCTACCACATGGAGACCATTTTTACATAAACATTATTTATATTTCAAAAAATAGGGAACATATTTCAGGAATACAAAATAATAAAAAGGTCTAGTGAAAAATATGCAATGCCTTCTTTCCTGCTGGACAAATTGCCAACTTGCAGTTGACAAACTGACTGTTGCTTCATTTAATTTCTTTGATTCATCTAGCTTGCTGATTTCTTGAATCCTCTGACTTTTCCAGGCATCTGTGGGAATACTTAAGAGTGTTTTCTTGCTGAAACGTAGTGCTGCATGCCTGTCTACAGGGAATTTGAGTCGTGTATAAAAAAAATAATATTGGAGACATCTGACTTAGCAGCAGAGTGATTACTTTAAGAGCAAACAGCAAGGCAGTGTAAAAAAAGGAATCTTTACGCAGCTAGAACTTCACTGAGGGAAACACAAAAAGATTAAATGGTAGATGATACCTTCAAGTAAAAAAAAAAAAAAGTGAATGAACTACTATTTTTCTGCCGTAAGCATACATTCACCTGGTACACCAAATTGGGAATGAAAAATACTACAAGTGCTGCCTGTTAGAATATTGGACTGCTTGGTGATACCATGCCAGTATTTAAGGTTCAAGTGTACTCTATCTGAACAGCGATTCCATTTGAACACTAGATGCAGGGGCATATGTGGGCAGGCTTTTGTTTCACCTAACTGAGAAGAAAAAAATTACTTTCAGAGAGACATTTGGCACTATACCTGACATAGGAGTTGAGTAAGACTTCTTTACAAATGAATGTACTGTTGCAGTTCATGTTGATTCCAAGTACAGAATGTGTTACTCCAGTGCATCCTTTCAATGTCAGCTTGAAGCCTAGTTAACACTCTTGTTGTTTCAATTTCAAAGGTACACACAAAATCCATGCACAGTTGTTATTTTTACATTTCCAAAGCAATGTAGTGGTAGGTATTAACTTATTGGTACAAATACTAGTAACTATTATAGTGATTTATCTTAACTTCCACACAGTGCTCATAAAGTTCAGTCTTTAACCAAGCTACTAACTTTCATCTGAAAAGTTACTGCGTGAATGACCATTTGCTAGCCATGTGTATTTTACCTTTCTGGGAGACATCATGTGTTGTCATCCTCCCCCTTTTCTCAGTCATAAATGTTACAGCTCATTATCACCTACTCTTTGAAATAAATATCTCGGGGAAAACAATAATATTTTAAAGTGTGTTACATATTAAGGTATGCTGTTAGGATGATTCTTTTTTTTCTGCTGACATGGACAAACTAAAATTGGCATTGCCTATTAAAGGAAAAAGGAGCCAGTTGTGGAGAACATACCATTTAGTTGGTATTATAAGTAGTGCTGTATGTAAATAATTGTATCTTAAATAGGATCTATCACTTCTGAAATAATGATGGAAATTCTTCGTGACAAAGAAAGTGGCATTAACATGGAAGGTGGATTTATGACAACTGGAAGCATGGTCTCTGTATTGCCTCAGCAGCCTAATCTGCCGTGTATTCACTTCTTCACTGGAACTCCAGATCCTGCAAGGTGATGTAGCAGCAAATACTTAGGATAAAAAGTTGCAGATATCTAAATGAAAATGTTTTGCAATTTGTCTAATTATATTCCTCTTGTTTTGTTTTGGTTTTGGGTTGTTTTTTTTGTTGTTTGGTGTCTCCCCCCAAGCACAATCAAAAAGTAGGAGGAATGTAATGTACATTATGTACATTAATGCTGCCTCTGAACCTACTTAGTGAAACGCTATTATGACACTGACTTAAACATCAGTTAGGAGATTTTTTAATTTTTATTATTTCTTGAGGAAGTGGAAGAATGGGGAAAAATACAGCAATCTACTGAGTCAACAGTTTTAACAAAACTGTATCAGTAAAGGATCTCTGTTCTGTTTTCTCTTTCTAGGTCTATATTTAAGCCTTTCATTTTTGTGCCCAATATTACTCAGTTATTAAAAACTAGCTCCCCTACATTTGGTCACGATGATCCAGTTAAGAAGCAACCACGTTTTCAGAATAAGCCAGATCGAAGACATGAGCTCTATAAAAAACATGAAAGTGCTGCTGTAGTTATGGAAACTATCGAGGTACGTTGATTAAATAGATTTCAATGCAAGCAGGTGGTTTATATAAGCTCCTTGCTCGCATTTTGTTAATGCGATACCATTCAGTGCCCTTTGATGAATTGCAGAGAACAGTGTAGTGCACCAGAAGCCCCTCGTCTTGGCATCTGGCAGCCATATGTTTGAAACAATAAAAATTGCAACTAGCATGTTGCTGTACTCCCAGACCTAGCCCCAAACAAGTATCTGTACTGCTCATCTTGCTAAGCAGCAGGCCACACATGCTCCTGCACCACTCAGATAATGGGGAAATGCTTGAGCAGCCACAGGCAAATATACAGCTCCTGCTAAGAGTACTTACAACTCTTCAGGACCCTGGTCTCAGGCAGTAAGGAGAGCATGTCTTTTGTGACTGCTTGGTATGGACAGGAAAGGAAACAAAAATCACAAAGACAGCTGGACACAAAGGTGAAGCAGGGACGTAGTTGCTTACTTGTAACAGTAGTGTCTCTCCTATTTACAGATACACGTTCTAAAAAGTAAGACATATGCCGACTTAAGTTTTGGTAGCATAAATACCTAAAGCTTTAATTTTGTTTATTTTCAGGGCATCGGACAAGGATGCAGGGATATGGAGTGCTAGATATTAGGAAAGATGTCTTAAGAAAACCTGTCATGGTGCTACCAACACAAATCTGTACCCTAGAACCTCTTAAGAGGTTAAAATAAGGGCAGTAGAATAGAATTTTGTTAGGGTGAACGCTACATACTCTGTATAGTTTTTAGTGAAATACAGATGTTTCTTTTTGCAGGGCCAAGGTAAAGAGATGCTGAAAGAGATACAGGAGTTGGAGAAACAGAAGATCAGCGAAATGGAATCAGTCCTGCAGAACGGTTGTCTTGACATTAACCATGTGGTTAACCTTTTTTCAAAGTGTGTAGAAGAAGAACTCAAAATATATAGCTAAAATTCCTATTTGAATGTGGTAAAATTCAGTTTTATGATCAACTTTTCTAATGAAGTGGCGATATAGATTACACCTTATTTTCAATATACCGGTTAGTATGGACAGTTTTAAAGATGCGGATTCATATTCAGGCCCAAGAACTTTTGCTTGTACGAAGCAACGCTGAAAAGGCTTTTAAAAGCTAGGTAGTGGCTTTGCACGTGGCATAAAGCTGTCATCAGAGATTGATTTTTGTCAACAAACATGCAATTAGAATGTAATAGTTTGAGTAAACTGTAGAACAACCCCATCTCTGGATGAAGAACACTAACTCAGCTTTGGAGAACTCAGTTCTAGTTCGACACATGTAGCTTTATAGTCGAGACAATCATAGCAGAATTTCACATGGCCTGGATTAAAATGGCCATGCTGAACGACTTTCGCAAATGTAGAACATATTCTTGCACTGAATAAAAAGGAAAGTGATATGCAAATCAAATAAGATTGATATTCAGCTGTTTGACAAAACCATTCTAAGATATGTTTCATATATGAACCTTCTACTCCTTCAATGTAAAATGAGGTTAAGAGTTCAAGGTGTATTAAAATCAAAATACAGTTACAATTTTACCATGATTTGTTGTGAAATCTGTTTACACAGAGTTCAACAATGCAAGCATCCTGCACGTTACCACACAATTATCACTTCCCTGTCTATTTTTCCTTCCCTGATACAAAAAAAATATTAAAATGACTTACATACAATATGATTATTGTCAAATTAATTCTGCAGCACACTTTATAATATAATGTGGGAGGTTTTTTAATGTTTCTTAATTCTTACGTTTTTAAATCAGGCAACTAGAAAGGAAGAAGTTGGGGTACACAAGGACATACATGTACTCAGCAGGACACTTAAAAGGACTTCTAATTTTTTTTTCACTTCATATAAAGCCTTTTAACTGTGACTTGTCTTGCCAGAATTACTACACTATGGAGTTAATTTAATCAAGCTTTTTCCTCTGCCAGGAACTCTTCCTCCTTGATCCTGTTTAAAAGCAATGATCAATATGTGACACTACTTTTGTTTTCTGTGGCAAGGGACATACTGAGCAAACAACAAAGAAAGAAGATTCTGGCTTTACTACATGATCAAGCAGGATAAAGAGTATGACTGGAAGTAAAAAAAAAACCCCAAAATACAGCACATCTGCAACCCTTCAGAAGAGAACATGTAACGTGAAACGGAGCATTAGAGCAGCAGTACGTTGACATGACAGCATCCCCACAGAAAGACGCAGCAGGCCACAGAAAGATAATTCTTTGATGATGTTTCTATATTTAGTCACTTTCTAGAATCATCTCAGATGCTAAAGATGGGGCTACACACATGCAGTTTTCTCATTTTGTAAACTGTTCTATCCCCCCCAGTGATAAAGTAAGTATAGGCAAACAAAAGAAATACATATACAATGAAGTTTGCAGAATGAGTAAGTAAATTGAGAGCTTGGCAGAATTTATTCTTCCTGATCCTACAATGAAAGAAGAAGTTAATTTAGGATACTGTGTTCAGATCCATGCCAAGAAATTACTGGGTCAGGAAAGGTTCTTGAACTTTCTAGTTCTAGTGGTCCTATGTGTACCAAGTAGCAGTAGCAAGTAAGACTGAGTAGCAGACAAGACTGGAAGTAAGCTTCAGTTGACTGTGAACTTTTTGTGCCTTTGCTGCCAACAAAATATCTTAGAAGTTCAATAGTACAGTGGATGATCGTGAACTGGAAGGTATATTTAATAAAGTTTTGCTGTATTTACCTGTTTTCCTCATGGATATCTGTATCTGACAAGCGTGTATCTTTATCCTATTTTTGATCATCAGCTGTTCCACACTAGCTCTTTGATAACTTCAAAGCATCAATAAATACCAGGTAAAACTGTGCTGGAAACCAAGGTATGAGTTAAGTTTACAGGTAGCATAGCATAACAAGAGAAACAATTTTATGCTACAATGCAAATAAAGTGAAGTTACACAGGAATGAAAATAGTGAAGGTGGTGGAGCAGGCCTTTAAGTGAGCTTCTTGGCCATTTAATCACAGGGTGGCAATTAACCAAGTTAAGCTTATTGGTCTGGTAGTAATATAAGCAGATACAGTCCAACTGTTCCTCTAGCTTCTGTGCTGTTTTTTATTTACTGGTCTACAGGATACAAAGTAAAAACAAGTGTGATGTATGGAGATAGACCAAGTGATGGCCAACAGAGTACAGCATATTTCGGTACCTCTTTTTTCCTCTTAGAACACATGCAGTGTAAAAACAGAAAATGAAGATGAGACCAGGAGGAATAAACCTCCCTCTCACAACCGTACGTAAAAAAACAAAACAAAACAAAACAAAACAC